TCCAGGCTGGAAGACGAGCTCAAGGTAAAACGACCCTTAGCCCTATGGAAACTGAATCCAGAAATTTCCCTTTGTAGTGCAAACTGAACAAAAAGTATCGTTGCAACGCCCCCAAATACGTTTTCTATAACAGAAACCTCCATATTCCAGTGCGCTCCTAATCCGCCAGTCCTTATTCATTGTGCATTATTCACTCTTCCTTAACAATAAACTGTACATTCATCCAAGTTTTCTCATTCCATCAGGGCTTTGCGTAATCAGTTCAATTGAATTTTTAGGACAAAGTTGCAAAGGAGCAGGATATCAGCAAAATCGACAGGGTGTTCTACAACAAGGGCCTGTAAATGTAATATCAAACCGATCTGATTTAACATTGATGGTTGATTAGTTTAAGGACAACTCAACTCTCAGGGCAATATATGTAGCACGTGACGAGACACTTAAGTTAATTTATTTGCGGCTCAATTTTCGAGCAATTAAAATAGTTTGCCAACTCCGCGCTTTTCTTGTATGTAGCTTTGGCTGAGCCTCTAAATGACAATAAGTAGGTTTAAATAAAAATTTGTTTTGAAAAGTTGCGTGTTACTCGTATAGGTTCTTTCCCGAAAGCTCAACGCAGAACCGATATGGAATTATCGAGCGGCAGGACTTCCATCTTCTCATGGCTGCTGCCCAAATACCTGTTATAAATACACTCGCCAATAACAAAGCAAACTTTCTCAAACGGGCGTATTTGCTCGTTAACACTCTCCCTCAAAAGCTCCAATGAATGCCCAAGATCTGCCTCCTCAAACCTCCACATCACATTCCAGTTCCTGAACTCCTGAAGCCAAAATCGCCCGGGGAAAGAAAAGCGTTCTTACTAAATAGGTGTTTGGTGTAAAATTTTCCAAAAACCACACATTTTTCGAAAGGTCCTTCACAAATTGTGCCAGACTGGCCAAAGTGGGGTAGCACAGTTTCAGCCAAGCTTTTGGCACCGTGTTTTGCAAGATATTTAGGTCAATGTCCTCTAAAGAATCACTCAGCTCCAAGTCTTCTTGCAATGCCAACTTCAGATGCCTGAAATCTGCCCGGATTCTCTCCAAAAGCCTGCGATACATACGACTTTCTCTGGTTAGAAAGTCTTCGACAAACTTCTTTTGGATGTTTGCTGGAATCAGCTCGATTAGCTCGTCTACAGAGGCAAAAGTTCCTTTGTGGTTCCTACTGCTTGGCTGTAGAGTTTGAAGCATTTGGGAACCAGTAGCCGAAAAATTCCTGAATGTTAATAACTGCTGTTCGGATAACTGATGCTCAGTCAAATAGAGCGAATCAGCTGCCTCCTGCTCTGGCAGGCCCTCAATGTGCCTCAAATAGTCGCGTCGATCATTCTTGCTGGGGAGAGTCTGAATCCGACCTCCATTAGACTGTCCTGGATTTTTTCCCAGAACCTTCTCGCTTACACAAGTCTTGAGCATTTCCAGAACAAAACTCTTTTCATGGCTGCTGCCCAAATGCCCGTTGTAAATACACTCGCCAATAACAAAGTAAACTTTCTCAAACAGGCAAATTTGCTCGTTAACACTCTCCCTCAAAAGCTCCAATAAATGCGCAAAATCTGCCTCCTCAAACCTCCAAATCATATTCCAGTTCCTGAACTTACGCCGCTGCTGGAGCAAAGTGTGAAAGTTGCATAAAGCGAACAGGAGCCTGGAAAATACTTCCTGCTTACCAGGACAGCCATAGAAAAATCCCTTACCTATTAAGGGAGGGTTGTTGTAGATGCGCAGCAAGTTTCTTCCTAAACTATCCGGCGGCTCTTCAACGATTTTGATGGAATTCTGGATC